GACAGTTGTGCAAGCAACTACAGAATCAGTTAAGTGGAAAAAAAAAAAAAATCAGAGAAATGAGCCAGGTAGGTTATTTCACGCTGCTATATTTAGAATGAACCAGAACAGGAATCTCGTCTTAATATTAAATAGTTTTCCTATAAACACTTTACAAATGAAAACAACCAACAGCAGCAGAGGCCTCAAGCAGATAAATGGCAGTACAAAGCGAGGACAGTGGAATCATTTGGGCAAGAATTATCGTTGTAATATTTTTCCTTCATTTCTGCCACTAATACTTTAAATAGAAGATTTTCACCTCAAAAATGCACAATAGAACAGGCTAAAAAGACTTCTGTAACTGTGTGTAGCCTGCCTTTTTTTACTGTCAGAATTGGGACACCATAAATACCTCCTATCATTATATCTGAACTTTCCCAGTGTAATTAAAACCCATTTCGAACAAATTTACAGATGCAGAACTTATATCCGTAGCTGACAGAAGACGTTTGTCTCCCCTCAGGATTTAATACTGTGTAAATTCTCTTACAAAAATAATACATTTATGTAGCATCACACTATCTCTGAATTACATTTGAAAGATGACTGCAGATTCCAATAACCTGATCTAGTCAGGAATTTCCTGGAAACGGGCAACATATCATAAACATCTTCTGAGAACTGGATTCAATAAATATATCTTATTTTGCTTATGAAAGAATCGTTAAGTAATTGTGATCTGTGAAGTAATATTATACTGCTGTACTACGTATTATTGCCTAGTAGATTTGGAAAGACAGATTTGAGGTTCTTTACTTAAACATTTCCATCATGGCTGGAATACTTAAAATGCAAAAAAAAAAAAAAAAAACCCTGTATTTGATTTATTTTTCCATGTACAACTTGCAAAAGAAATGCTTTATTCAAAAGTTTGTCAAGAACCACTGAAAATATTTATCTGTTACATACCTTCATTTGATAGTTCAGTTCCTCTGAAAACTGAAGCTGATAAAAGATATCAGATACCTGATTCTGTCCAATGGGTCTTTACCTCCATTTTGTTTATGTAACTATTAAATTCATTGCTTCTGTTTAGATTAGATTACCATTTATCATTATGCGATAACCAAGAATATACTGGAGGATTGTTCGGCATGCATCCGATGTTCCCTGCAACTGTTCTGTCCAAAGTTATCTTTCAGTATAATTCTTGTTAGCAGTAAGTCTATGTAGCTGCAAAATCACGAGCATAACGACAGACAAACATGCTAGAGACACAGCTCTCTAAGATGCCATTCCCACCCAGGCATAGAAGAAGGTACCGTCACATATTTGCTTCAGCTCTGACCTTATTTTTCAGACAGAAATGCATTATTATTGGTATTTATTTAACCAGTTGTCCCTTATTGTTCACCCGAGCGGAAGCATCACACAATATTTTTTTCCTCAGAGTCATCTTATCTTTGGTTATGCCATTTCCCTTTTCCTTGGCAGAGTTCCAAACTCACTGACCTTTCAGCTACTTGGAACAAAGAGAAAACAATTAAGCAATAATATCGCAAAGTCCAAATTTTGCCTTCTCTGCCTAAAGACTCTTGTTCTGAAGCCCTGGCAGCCTTTTTTTTCCCCATGCAAATAAGGTTTGATCAGGAGGTTAGATATGACATGGAGTAATGGGCAATCAGAGTCAACCTGTCAGACCAATATTCGTCTCAAGTGACCAGCCCTGCAGGAAGAAAATGCTCCTGTCAGTTTCAAGACAGAAATTAGATTTATTTATTCTTTCACACAGATATTTTCTTAAACTAGGAAGAATTTGTCTGACAACCTTACATTTCCAGGCATATCACAATGGCATTAGCGTTATATTGAATGTTTTTGCGATGCATTTAGCGCCATACAAAGAACATATGGTCTGGCAAAAATTAATAAAATATTCATATCTATTTTGATCCAGATCTGGTGTTTCTATGCCAGATTTGGATCAACTCTTTCACCTGAATTTAGATTCAAGTGCTTGTAGTCCTTAATCCTTGTTTTTCACCCCTGACTAACTCTTACTATTGAACCGAGTTTCATGATTTTAAGCCTTTAGGTATCAGATGCAGCTTTCAGAACTAGACTTACAAAGTAGATTTATTGAGGCCTACGAGGTCTATGGGAACGGGAAGGCCAACACTACCTCTTATTAAAACAACACCAAGAGCATTTCTTGGTTCTTTTCCATGGCGAGGATTAGCACTGAAGAGCAACATGTAGATTGCATCGGCTCAAAGTCTGTCACTTGGTGCTCACGAGGCAAAACAAAATTTATAGATAAGGTAGCATTTGAGACTGATGAAAGATAAGAAAGCCTGTGAAAGATGTCAGGCTAACCTGTCAGTTCCTCTGTCTTTTATGAGTCAAGTTAACAAGCAGCAGAGGTAGAAAATTTTATTAGACTATCATCTAACTTTGTCTTACTTTGTCATAATATGTTACTCCTAAAAAATGATTATTCTGTGCTGTTGAGTAAGCCCCCTTGATTTTTGTGGACAACTCACACCAGTTTGCAGTCACAGAGGTTAAGGACAAGGGAAGAATAAATTTGCTCAGAAAGCCCTGAAGGACCATACTAAGGATAATAGCAATGACAGCTGTAAATCTCTCAAACTTATAATAAAGACCCATGGACTCCTGCATCAACACTGTCTGAAGTCAGAAAAACATCCCGTTGTAGTCTTTCTTCATGGAACTACACGCAGTTTATTTCCAGACTTTACATACCTTGGCTGTTGATCTCTGTAGCCGACAACATCAGGAAGGCTACGCAAGGAGTACACCCAGAACCTAAAGGGCAGCAAAGAAAAAACAGACAGTGGGAAAATATTTTTTCTAGTCTGTGAACCTTTGTTTTGCATGAGGAGGACTTCAGGGGAGGAGGGGAGGACCATTTGCCTTTCTTTTGATGCCTTTTATCCCTTTCCACTTTCATTCCATCTGCAAAATTACATTGATCATATCATATTTAAATGCTTGGTTTTGAACAAAGCACTCCAGTTCATGAGGAGCCAGAAAGTTCTCAGAAGGGATTCTACCTCTGAGAAGGAGCTAGGCTTCGTAGAGGGACTTCTCTGTCTGAAACGGTGAATGGCATGGATGGTGTCAGCATGCAGCTTATACCCTTTTCTCCTGTCCTGGGTCTCATAGAGTTTACTGACACTCATTTTTTGAGCCTTTTTTTTTTTGTCTTTAAGGATAAAATTAATCTTAATTTAATAACAAATCACAGAGACACAGACCATATAATCACTGAGTGATTATATGGTTCTCATTATAGAAAAAATAAATTTTGGATAAATACCTGGGAATATACCTAGGAAAGAGGCAGGAGTCTTGTATAAGCAGCTTGAATTGCAAGTAAAATGGTTAAGATCTACAATACTATCTGGACACCAGTATTAACTGATTCCAGAAAACACTTCATAACTAACTACCCAATACCTGCTGAGAACCGTCTACCATACTCATATCAATAGCAGATTACCATAATCATATTAATATTCTGCCACTGTAGACAAAGGAAAAAAAATACACTTCTTATTTTTGAAGCACTTTAGCTTAATTTTTTCAGTCAAGTGGGCACACAGTTTTTTGTTTTTTTTGAGGAGTTCATTAGATATTAGATATTTAAGCCACTTTACAAACACAAGACTTAGACTTGGTTCTATAATTCCTTTCTACTACCATGTATGTCTACTGTATCATTCACACCAGTTACAAAGTAAGTAGTTTCATAGCTGTAACTGCACTAAATAGTATTATGCTGGTACAACCAGAAAACTATTTCAAATAAACAATCTTTCAGATTGTGCATGAACAAGAACATAACCCATAAACCAGGTCAACAATAACTACAGGCTAATTTAACTCGCCTAGTTTTAGCCAGCTGAGAGGTGCCTGGTCTAAACTGACCGACTAGATTGCCTCTTTCGTTAATGGAGAAAGACAGGTACTTTCAGCCGGTGAATGAGTTACCCATCTTAAAACAGTGTCTAATGTAAATGGGATAAATCGCCATCGCAGGGTGGATGAAGAATTTTTTTGTCTGATATTTCAATGCAATTAAAACTGAGAAAACAAAATTTCTGGAAAAAAAGAAATGTATGTATCATATATCACAGTCATCCCAAATGTACCAGTATGAAATACTCTATTATGTTCCAAAATTCATAAAGTGCAAATGCTTCACTTGAGGAGACTCTTTAATAGACCTGGGATTGCTGAACATAATAAAATGAAACATAGCTGAGCTGTGATAACGATAGCAAGTCAAGGGAACAATGAGCTCACTTTTGCTCTGTAAAATGCACTTACTCAAAAAGAAATCTAATTGTTATGCCTAAGGAAATGCTAAAAGTAAAAGTGAATTGTAGCTATAATGCAAGATAAATACACTGCAGATGAAAATGGCACTAATGAACTTCAAAGAGGCTCAAGAAACTTGTTTATAATTTGCTATATGTTCATTTTTATAAAAGGACTAATAGACCTACAAGTAAAGTAGCACTGAAAATTACAAACTTTTGAGGTAGAATTAATTTCACCTAAGTTTAGCTTGAAGTGGCTATTTTAAGACATCTAAACTAGTTACCAAACTCCCACTGTAGTCAAAGGAAGAAAAAAAAAAAAAAAGCATTTAGTGAATTTCCAGAATGAAGTTTATCACAGTCAGCTCATGCACTCTGGTGCTGTCTTTTTTATCAGCAAAATGTCACCTTTTACTTTGTTTCCTATCATTTTTTCATCCATTACACAGTGTTTTGATGCAAACCTCCACTTATTCCTTTCTCAACCCTTGACCTCAGTCAAGTCATTTCAGCTTTTCCAAGCTTTGTTTTGGCTTTTCGTGAAGTTAGGATGCGCAGCCATTCTCACGGAGCACTTTATATTTCAGAGAGGAAAACACACTCTGTAACTGTCGTGTCAATTTGTTGCCTT